ACAAAATATCTGAGATAATTAGCTTCAAAAGAAGAAAGGGTTATTTTGGCTCACAGTTTTGGAGGTTTTAGTCCGTGACTAATTGGACCCAACTGATTTGGGCCTATGGTGGCCATCATCATGGTGGGAGCATGTGGTGGAGGAGGCGTGTTTACCCCAATGACTGGTGCAAAAGAGCCAGAGAAAGGGTGAGGTCCCACAATCACCTTCAAGGGTACTCCTCCAGTAACTTAACTCCTTCTCCCTAGGTCCCTCCGTTTAAAGGTTCCACCACTTCCCAATAGGACTACACATTTGAGACTACGCCTTTAACACATGGGTGATAGGGGACATTTTAGATTCTTCGTACATATTGTACAAGACTGGAATGATTTGTGCCTTGATTGCCACAGTCAGTATCCACATGGGAATTTGAACGCAGATTCCACCTGACTGCAAGGCTTGCTCTGTTTTCCATATGCAAATGATCTCAGTGAGGGAGCAAATGAAAGAAAGCCCTTCACAAATACATGTGTGATAAATTTGGCTTCTATCATATTGGGCTCTCCTTTCCCAAAACTATGTACTATGGCTTCAAGAAGAATAGTCTGAAGTTCAATACCTGATTGTAGATGAATGTCCAAAGCCAGGCATCTCACTCCCCCACTTTGACCACCACCTGCATGACCACGGTCAGTCATCCAGCCAAGCTCAAAGTCACCCATCCCAGAACTGTGCTTGTACTGATTGAAGTTTCAGTCTCTCCAAAGAGTGATCTGAAGTGAGAACTTGAGGAGAGGGATGCATGGATGCAAGAGATCTAAGAGAAAACCTCCACCTGTATTTAATGACTTCCATGGAGACAATAGCCACCCCCCTACATACACACACACAAAACTTCACAATATTTAAGTGTATCATAAGCCCTTGATTTCTTGTAAGGTTTTAAAATATTTTTCTTATTCAAGAATACATATTCGGGCTGGGCCTTTCTGTATGGGAGGGGAGAGAGACCCCTCCCACACAGAGGGCTTTCTCTTTTCCTATTTAATAAACTTCTGCTCTTTTGCTTAAAAGAAAAATACATGTTCATTGTAGAAAGTTTTCAGTTTTTGCAAAATCAAATATTAAGCAAAAATCACCTCAATGTCTTCCAGTGACATTTCATTAAATATGCAGAAGTATTATTCAGACAATTGTGCATTTTTGGAAATAGTCAAATACTGAGAACTCTTTGAGGGTAGCTAACATGAAGAAACTCATCAAGAACAAAGGGTCTCAAAAAACTCTACTCAGAAGCTCCTAGACACCATCAATAGCTACAGCAAGGTAGCAGGATATAAAATCAACATAGAAAAATCATTAGCATTTCTATACACTAATAATGAACAAACTGAAAAAGAATGTATGAAAACAATTCCATTTACAATAGCCTCAAAAAAAATCAAATACCTAGGTGTAAACCTAACAAAAGATGTGAACGACCTCTACAAGGAAAACTATAAACTTCTGAAGAAAGAGATTGAGGAAGACTATAGAAAGTGGAGAGATCTCCCATGCTCATGGATTGGTAGAATCAACATAGTAAAAATGGCTATACTCCCAAAAGTAATCTACATGTTTAATGCAATTCCCATCAAAATCCCAATGACATTCATCAAAGAGATTGAAAAATCTACCATTAAATTTATATGGAAACACAAGAGGCCACAAATAGCCAAGGCAATACTCAGTCAAAAGAACAATGCTGGAGGTATCACGATACCTGACTTCAAACTATATTACAAAGCAATAACAGTAAAAACTGCATGGTACTGGCACAAAAACAGACATGAAGACCAGTGGAACAGAATAGAGGACCCAGATACGAAGCCACACAACTATAACCAACTTGTCTTTGACAAAGGCACAAAAATATACAATGGAGAAAAACCAGCCTCTTCAACAAAAACTACTGGGAAAACTGGTTAGCAGTCTGCAAAAAACTGGAACTAGATCCATGTATATCACCCTATGCCAATATTAACTCAAAATGGATCAAAGATCTTAATATCAGACCACAAACTCTAAAGTTGATACAGGAAAGAGTAGGAAATACTCTGGAGTTAGTAGGTATAGGTAAGAACTTTCTCAATGGAACCCCAGCAGCACAGCAACTAAGAGATAGCATAGATAAATGGGACCTCATAAAATTAAAATCTTCTACTCATCAAAAGAAATGGTCTCTAAACTGAAGAGAACACCCACAGAGTGGGAGAAAATATTTGCCAGCTACACATCAGACAAAGGACTGATAACCAGAATATATAGGGAACTTAAAAAATTAAATTCTCCCAAAACTAATGAACCAATAAAGAAATGGGCAAGTGAACTAAACAGAACTTTCTCAAAAGAAGAAATTCAAATGGCCAAAAAACACATGAAAAAATGCTCACCATCTCTAGCAACAAAGGAAATGCAAATTAAAACCACACTAAGATTCCACCTCACCCCTGTTAGAATAGCCATCATTAGCAACACCACGAACAACAGGTGTTGGCGAGGATGCGGGGGAAAAAGGAATCCTCTTACACTGATGGTGGGAATGTAAACTAGTACAACCACTCTGGAAAAAAATTTGGAGTCTCCTTAAAAAGCTAAACATTGATCTACCATTTGATCCAGCAATACCACTCTTGGGGATATACCCAAAAGACTGTGACACAGGTTACTGCAGAGGCACCTGCACACCCATGTTTATTGCAGCACTATTCACAATAGCCAAGTTATGGAAACAGCCAAGATGCCCCACTACTGATGAATGGACGAAGAAAATGTGGTATCTATACACAATGGAATTTTATGCAGCCATGAAGAAAAATGAAATGTTATCATTTGCTGGTAAATGGATAGAATTGGAGAACATCATTCTGAGTGAGGTTAGCCTGGCCCAAAAGACCAAAAGTCGTATGTTCTCCCTCCTATGCGGACATTAGATCAAGGGTAAACACAACAAGGGGATTGAACTTTGATCACGTGATAAAAGCGAGAGCACACAAGGGAGATATGAGGATAGCTAAGACACCTAAAAAAATTAGCTAGCATTTGTTGCCCTCAATGCAGAGAAACTAAAGCAGATACCTTAAAGCAACTGAGGCCAATAGGAGAAGGGGACCAGGAACTAGAGAAAAGGTTAGATCAAAAAGAATTAACCTAGAAGGTAACACCCACGCACAGAAATCAATGTGAGTCAACTCCCTGTATAGCTATCCTTATCTCAACCAGCAAAAACCCTTGTTCCTTCCCATTATTGCTTATACTCTCTCTTCAACAAAATTAGAGATGAGGGCAAAATAGTTTCTGCCCGGTATTGAGGGGGTGGGGTGGAGAGGAAGTGGGCGGAGTGGGTGGTAAGGGAGGGGGTGGGGGCAGGGGGGAGAAATTACGCAAGCATTGTATGCTCATATGAATAATAAAAAAATAAAAATTTTAAAAAAAGGTCTCTGGGAACAGGATACATTCTCTTGCTGTACTGTTATAGGTCTGTGACAGACAAGGCCACTCATCTTCAAAATTCTGTACTGATCTGGCTCAAGGCTCCTTATCCCAGGGAAAGGGAAGATAATACCTGAGGCCTGGAAAGTTGTATTCCCCTCACTCCCACACTCTACAACCTCACCGCCCCGACCAGACCTTTTGCAAGGCTGTGTGAAGCGACGCCAGGCTCTTGTGCTGGCAGTAACTCTCAGAGGCACTCCCTGCAATGAACTCTACATAAACTGTGTCCCACACTGGGGTTCTGTTCCAAGTCCCCTTGTCCTTGTTCTAAAAAAAAAAAAACCAAAAAACCCCCGAGGAATGCTGTGCAGAGGGGAGGATGCTATGATTTGGATGTGGTTTGTCTCCCAAAGGTTCATCTGCTGGTGGGTTGGTCCCCATTGTGATGGTGTTGTGGGGTCATGTGGGCTCCACCCTGGGAAGAAGTAATTTAGGTCTTCTGAGACTAGATTAGCTCTTGGGAGAATGGGTTAAGTGAGCCTGGCACCATGCTCCTGCCATTGTGATGTTATCCACCATGGGGCCCATCACTAGGCTGAAGTCAGCACCATGCTTTAGAACCTTCAAAACCTTTTAAAAAATAAATCCCCAGTCTCAAGTATTTTATAATGGCAACAGAAAACCAACTAAGACAAAGAATGAGGCCAAAAGCAGCAATCCCTGTCCATTTTCCTCACCTCAATCCTAACTGCCATGTTTCCTGCTGCTCCCCCATTCCACCTGTCACCATGGCTTGAGTATCATGGGTAAAATGGACCAGCTGTAGAATGGGCACATGAGTCGCATCAGGGAAGCCAGAGGGGCCCAGTCTCCTGGGGACGGCTCATAGGCCAGTGGAAATCCTTCCCACCGTGCCTTGCAATTCCAACAGCACACTTCCATGCAAACTCAGTATATCAATTTGTTTCTGAATTGCTGGATGTTGCAATTGTATTTCTACCAAGTAGCACCAATGACTGCAGAAACCTTAGCTGCCTTTCTTTGTAATACTTTGAAATTAAAAAAAAAATCACCTGTTTATTCATGCAGTGTTGTAAATACTCTACAGTGGATGGTTAGACATGTCTAGCCCCTGGCTGCAATGTGATATTTGCAGAGTAAGTGGGCAGTGTGCATTTCAATAGGAATGTGACCCACATCTAGGAAGACAGAGACACATGTAGGAAAGGAGACCAGTGTCTCAGTGGTCTGAGTCCCTGCTCACTCTGCCTTTCTGTTTGCAGGAATTTTGACACTGGGCTCCCCACAGAGGGTTTCTGAGGACTGTTCTGCCCTTCCTTGCCCACTTCTTCAAAGCCCTGCATTGGACTCTCAGTCTCACTAAAAGTAGAATGAGATTTTGATGCCACTAAAAGAGAGAAGCACCATTTATTTCCCTATGTTGGGAAGGAAGCGCAGCCACAAAGGCAGCTGTCTACTCTCAGTGAAGCTGCAGGGTCCTCCATCCCTGGGATGGTTAACATCCCAACCCCAGCATGACCAGAGACCCACAGAGGGGCAATCATAGATCCCAGAAAAGCACTTCACATGCAGACACACAGACACACAGTTCTGAAGGTGGGATCCCATGATCAGGCCCTTTATTTTTCTGAATTGTCAGTGCACTGATAAGGTCACTTGGGTCAGAGGAAGAGTGGTGGGTGGGTGAAAGGTGGTCTGCATGAAGTGACAACCCTGTGCTCAGGGTGAGGAGAACCGGCCGCAGAACAAAATCCCGTTGGTCTTGCTGTGCTGGATGAAGAACAGGAAGGGGTGGTCAGCACAGAAGCGGGGGGTGTACCGAATGCAGCGCATCATCATCACGGCAGCAGTAGCGGCTGCAGCCTCTGTGCCCTCCTCATTGACCTCAATGAAGGATTTGTGCACAACCTTGGACAGACACAGGTCTCCCTTGGACGAGATTCCAGAAAAGTCTGCCTTGTCTGGCTCAAAGGCGTCTGTCATGCCCAGACTGCAAAGAACATCCTTCATGTCATAATTCTCCTCCAGTTTAAACCGAGGGAGGAAAACCTCTACTTCTTCTGCATCCATCTTGTCTGGTCTTGTCCACTCTATGAATTTCTCATAAGTAATTTCCTTTTCCACCTAGAAGAAGAGGGTTAGAGATTTTTAAGCCCCAAGACAGGGCCACCCACATATGATGGTGACGAGTGGCTGGCCTGGCCATGATCAGAAGTGGTGCTTGTGGTAAATACAGTAGCCAGGAGGGGCTGGGGTATAGTTCAGTGATAGAATGCTTGCTTAGCATGCTCAAGACCCTAGGTTCCATCCCCAGCACCACAAATAAAATTTTAAAATAAGTTAACTGGGACCTGGAAAGAGCTGCTACAGCAGAAACCCAGAGGCTTCTCTCTCGCCATAGTGGAAGCATAGGGCTGAATATCCTTACCGTTCTCAGATCAGTGTCCTCATCTGGAAGCAAGATAAGCATGTTCAGCTCCTCACCCACATAAGGAAGGGCCAGAATCTTTGTGGATATTTCTCCTATGTAGGTTATTTTAAAAGTAGCCTTCTTAGACATCATCTGCACAGGTCTCTCCTCATTCTGTAAAGGAAATGGATAAGCATTTAGTTGAAACAAGACCCAACTGACACACTGGACAAATTCAATGGAGGGAGTCAGTCTCAGTCCCTTTTAAACACTGTGTTTGGGCTCAAAATACTCCATAAGACCTTCCTCATCCTCTGCTAGAATTTAGACCTTAAATGTCCCCAGAAGGCCCATGTTTAAAGGTGTGGTCCTCCGGTATGAGAGGTATGCCCTTGATGGAGATTGTGGGACCCTGCTCCTCTTCTTCCTCTTTTGCTTCTTGGCTGTGAGGTGATCAATTTTGCTCTACCACACACTCCCACCATTGCCATCCTCCTCATGATACAATAGCGTCATTCTATCTCTGCCAGGTAAGCTTATCCCCAGAACCCAGAGAGGACATTCTTTGCCTTCTCTATATCACCTTTGCAATGAAGGCTTCTTCAATACCGCTCATCTGCAACTATACCCCAAAACAACTTCCTGCCCCTCTTTTGTATGTCTCAATAGCACTTAGCATGACCTAGTAACTCCTACTCCCTTATGCATGCTTACTGTATCTGCCTCAGGAAAACATCAGCTTCACAAGGATAGGTGTGCTCAGTCAGCTAATGGTGGGAACAGAGCAGGCACTTAACAGCTGTTGACTAAATGAATAAACTAATGAGTGGATATACTGAAGGGCTGAGCAAAATTAACACATCTTGCCAGAAAAAAGTACATTTTTTGCCAATGTATCCCCAACCAGACAGTGAGAAAGCCCCAAGGATGATGATCACATCCTATCTAACAACGCTCCATGGCTCCTGACCACTCTGTGGTTTAAATGAATGCCATGTGACAGGCACAGCCTAAGGCCCTTTGTTATCCCCAGTTCTTTGGCACAGAACATCATTCTGTATCAACTAGAACAAACCAAAGTTTTCTGCTGCTGTGCTATGTCTTGCCTTTCTAGAACTTGCCTGAATTAACCCTCAGTCAGAACAGTCTCCTGCCATTGGCTCCTCAGTCATCCAGGGCCAACAGCTGGCATGCTTTTTCCATAACTGGCCAGAAAGTAAGCATTTCTGCTTTGTGGGCAATGCACTTTCTGCCACAACTCCAGTCTCTTGTTATAGCATATATAAACAAAGAAGCATGACTGTTTCACTAAAACATCATCTAAAAACACAGGCATGGGCTGGCTTTGGCTCACTGGCCACAGGGTACTGACCTCTGCCTTAAGTAATTTCTCCCCATGCCCAGGTCTCCTTTTAACATAAAAGGATCTAATCTTAGTAATTTAATGACTCACTAAATATACAATTGTGTCAAGTTCCATTTCATTTAGAAGGAACTAAAATGAAAGTCCATATTAACTCAAAATCTGTGCCCTTGGAGGCAACACATGCACTGCAGCCCAGCACCTCCTCTTTGGCAGAACCCCTCACCATCCTGTTCCTAGTGGAAGTCATATGAAATAGTTCTAGTCTATGTGATATACAGGAAGGACTTCCCTCTGATTACAAGGATAAAACCTCTGAAGGAGGTTTTTTGCCCTCCATTCTCTGTCCTTCCTCCTCGCTGGTGGAGAGTCTGAGCTATTTGGGAAACATAATAGTCCCCATGATAAGGACAGCAGAGCAGGAAGGGAAAGCCAGTTCTACAGAATATCACCCCAGGGCCAAGTCAGCCCCAGGCTCTATTCTCCTCCAGACCTCCTGGCTGGGGAGATGAACACCTATGAGTTAAACTATAGTGATCTGGGGTTTTTGTGGCTCAGAGATGAATGAAGTCCTAACATGTATCTTGTTAAAGATTAATTTCAAGGAGAGAAATAGGTTTGTGGAGACAAAACAGGATGGTTCATTTTAGAATAAAGCTCACAATAAAATGCATTTCTTGAGAAAGTAAAGATTCAGATTCAACTTGCCCTGAAAAATCAAAGTTTTGGTCAATCACCCAGAAAACACAGTAGTTAATCTGTTCTATCTGCTTTGGGATGTATGTGGGGAAAAAAGAAAGATTCAAAAGAAACAAAAAAACTATAGTTAAAGACTTAAAGAAACTGGATTCAGTAAGAGAATGATACTGGACCATTAGCAAATAACTTCTTCCAAGCTGGAGGTGGTTAAACTCAGTGTATCCTGCACACAAGTCCCTTTGTCTGCTGTTTTTAAACAGAAATCTGTACTTATATTATCCTTACTATCAAAACGAGACTGGAGAACAACAGTGGTTCAGTATTTACTGAGCACTACCATATGCCAAGCATGTGTAAGACAGAAAAGTTGAACCGCTGCAGTATCTCGTGGAGATCAGCAGTGCAATGGTGACAGCTTGGAGGAGGGGCAGAACCTAGAAGGCGCTCCCAGGGGAACACTATTAGGAAGAAAGGAGTGTATCAATACTGAGGGAATGGGGAGAATTGGCAGGAGCCAGGGCACAAAGAACCTTCTATGCCATATTTGGAGTTCAAATTTTATGTCATAAGCTCTGAGAAGTCTAAAAAGTCTTAAAGTAAGCCTGAGAGCTACCTCATCAGATTTGCCTTGTGGACAGACACCAGGGACAGTATGGATGGTGACAGTAGTGGGGATGTACCAAAAGCTGGGGAGTGCATAGCCACCTGTGGTAACATACAAAAGGAGAAGAGCAAAAGAAAGGTCCCAAGGCTTTGTCTGCCAGGCTGTCCAATGCCACTTGAAGCTAAAACATGCAGCCTTCCCGCACGTTTTAGAAAGTAACATGAACATTAACCATGTCCAGAAGTGTCGTTTCTGAACAATATTCACCTTGCTGACTTTAAACAGACTCTCCTGGGTCAGCTCTTTGTTAAACTGACCCTCCCAGTTTCCTTTGAAGTAGATGGCATTCACGAGAACCAGACCAGTTGATGGATTCACTGAACCTGGAGACAGCAACTCTGTAATTTTATCTGAAAGGAAGAGTTCAAGAGCCAGTCAGCTAAGGAGTTTGCTAGTGTGTACGTTAGGGAGGAGATGCAGAAGGGCCGCCTCCTTGTATGGTAAGTACACTGATAAAGGATGTCACTGTATACATGTATTGAAAATCACATGATATTCAATATGCATCATTTTATGTTTTAGGTACATGTTAAAGTAAATTTACATTTTAAAAAAAAGATGAGTGATTCTAAGATGTTCTTTGCAAGAGGAAAGCATCTGCATGAGAAGTCACAGGTGAATGAGGGCTGGGCCAAGCCCCCTGCAACAGTATGGGAGAAACACAAGTGTGAGCTTCAAAGAGGCACCTCCAGTTTTATTTGCAAAAAGATTAACCAAAAAAACAAAGTGTGGATTGTTCTGAAGAGGTGTAGTGAATATTGCGAGATGTCAAAGATACTCTAATGAGAGGAGGAAAAAGCTAGAGAAAAATGTCAGATGTTGACAATATTTCAGAAGCTTATTTGTAAAATTGACAGTTATTTAGAGAACAAAAATCCATGCCCATTTTCATCTGATGCGCTCATAAAGGAACCAGCAATAAAACCAATTAAAATACTATTAAAAATGGAGTAACAGGGTAACAGAGGCTGGAATGTGGCCCAGTGGTAGATCACATGGTCAGCATGCCCCAGGCCCTGGGTTCAATTCCCAACACCAAATAAAAGTATGTTCACCTTCTGTCTTTTTGGCTACCCAGGTGTTTATGTGTTTTCGGGACTCCTCTGTGGCACCAACAAAGTCAAGCTCTTCCATCTCTGCTTGGTAGAATTTGTAGCAGGAATCTTTAAAAGACTAACACAAAGCAACATAACTACACAGCTATAAAAATTATTAACACCAACAGCTTACTTCTTTAACACACCAAAGCAGAAAAACAAGGATCTGATTGTGTACAGGTATAATTTACACATAAATATGAGGGATAAACCTAAAATCTAACCTGTTTTCAGGGTTTGGGTTTTTAGTTTGTTTGGCTTTGTTTTGTCTGTAGTGCTGGGGATCAAACCCAGGGTCTTGCATCCGTTAGGCAGGCACTCTGCCACTGAGTTACATCCTAGCCCTTGACTTCTGGAGATAGGATCTCACTATGTGGCCCAGGCTGGTTTCAAACTCTTGATCTTCCTGCCTTCACCTCCTAATGTTGGGATTAAAGACATGTACCACCATGCCCTGTTTCACCTCTCTTTAATGTTAGCTTATGAACAAAGTAAGACAGTACTCTATCAATAAAACTTCATGAACTGCTGAATGGTTAAGGTGTAGCTGAGGCTCAACAAGGTAACTTATAAATCCATACCATCCAAACTGGTGTCACATGTGGCCAGCCACACAGCACCTAAGATATGGGCAGTGTGACTGGAGAACTGAATATTTTGATTACATTGGAATATAAATAGCTATGTGTGTCTAGTCGTTACCATGCTAGATGACTCAGTTTTAATTTAGCCTTAGTTTCTCAAAAAGCTTTTGGGGCTATGGCTGTAGCTCAGCGGTAAGAATACTTGCCTACCATGCACAAAGCCTGTGTTTCCTCTCCCGTACTGAAAAAAAGTTCAAACTATTTTGCTGATATATCCTACCAACATGATAATGACAATGATCAACATATGCCATATTAAAGAAGGAAATTTGATGAACATAAACAGGCTGAAATAACTCACCAACACTGCACTGTGAAATGATTTCAAGTTTTTTTTGAACAGCTATGGCTACATGTTAAACTCCCAATTGGAGCACTAATTTTATAATATAGGATTTTGCGTTTCTCCTTTAGTAGAGTATGAGAACAAAGATGTGACACAGTGGTTATGAACACAAGTGCTTCAATTATCAGCTGTGTGGAGATAGGAAAGCTGGTCCCTCCATACCTCATCCTCGCCTGTGCAAGGAGACACCTCCAAGAATCACTGTGAGGTCTGGATGGATCACTTTCATTCTTCCTGCTTTATCTAACATTACTAACTTCCAGTATGTTTCAGGCACTATAAAGGTGAACTGCACAGATCATCTTACTTAATCCTAGCATAGTTCATGCTCTGCCAACTTTACTCATCTGTGTTTGAAGATTTTTTAAACCTCTCATTCTAAGAAAACAGCCTGGAAGGATCCTGCCTTAAAAGAAGGATGTGTGCTCTTTGTGCTCTTTAACTCATTCTCCAAGGGGGTAGTGGAGTAGCTCAAATGGTAGAGCTCTGGCCCAGCAACTGTGAGGTCCTGAATTCAAACCCCAGTAGTGCAAAAAAAAAAAAAAAAAAAAGGAATAACTTATTCTCCAGTCTCTTTCCAAAACACAGACACCACTATCTTGAACAATAAGGTTGAGGCTATATTAGGCAAAATATATATATATAAAGGGAACATGGACCTTTGAGACAAAGGAACACTATGTCTGTTTTTGGGTGATGGTACCAGACTTGTATTTGAATTAGAAATAAACATTTATTTTGTTTTGGAAAAAGGAAAAAAAAAACACAGCTTGGAAGCAAACTGATCACATATAATGGAGAACTTGCCACATCTTTGGGTGATTTTTTTACAACTTTAAAGACACTAAAAAAATAACTGCTATTTAAGTTACGACTTCATAAGCAATGACTAATTGTACTAAAGTAATATATCTATTTATAGATTTGGGTTAGTATTTGGATTCTTGTAATACTAAATTACTGAGAAATAACTGACATACTTCTATTTTATGTCCCAATTTCAAAAAAGAATTCTAATCAATTCTTTCTTTAAAACAGCCACAAAATAAAATTAAATAAGTCAATCCTTTGTGTTTGTTGGAAGTTTTTGTTTTGTTTTGTTTTTTAAATTTGGAAGGCTTTAAAAAGATGATGACAACCTCAAAAGCTATGACTAGCAAGTAAGTCAAACAAGTTAGGGGGAAAAAGAAAAATCACACTTGCCAATATCTGACCTCATGCTTGACTACATTTTACATCACTTAGTTTTAACAATTTAGAATCTGAAAGATTCGAAAAAAATGACCAAAAAAAACCAATAAAAAATTGATATCCTAAGCACAAAATTTTTGCACCCAACTTTGTCTTATTAAAAACTCTTATAAATCAGTAAGAAAAGTGAATGTAGGCCCGTAGAAAATATATACACTATTCACAGAACACAAACAGGCTAAGTATCCCTTATCCAAAATGCAAAGGACCAAAGGTACTTTAGATTTTGGAATTTTTCAGATTTTGGATTTAGGGATGCTCAGCTTGCTTATGCTCAACATATATGTAAGACAAGTTGATGCATCTCAAATAATCAAAATTTGAAATATTGAGATCATACAATGTTGATAAGAGTGGCTCAAGGTGTAGGTCCCAAGTTCAAATCGCAGTACCACAAAAAACCAATACACTGCCGGTATCTCCAGAGGGAATATAGACAGCATTTTGAAGAGCAATTCAGTAATACAGATTAAAATCTCTAAGCTTCACTTCCTTCCTCCCTTCTACAAATCATTTTGGAGCAACACATGCACATGTGTACAAAATCACATTCAGTAACTGTTATGGCCCACATTAGGTATAAGCTAAACGTCCACCCACGGGCCAATGGTCTATCACATTAGCATATATCTATCCCTAAGACTATCAGACGACGGTTAACAGCAGTGCGGTAGCAGAGATGCTTGGCATGAGTGAGGCTCTAGGTTCCATCTCCAGCAATAAATAAATAATAATGGTAATAGTGTGTATATCCACATATATTAAAATGCAAACAATGAAAGAAACAAATTACAAAATATGTATGGTCTAGTGGCATTATGCAGGGAAAATTCTCAAAGCAAAACTTCTAAATCTGCAGGAGGACATACCTCAAAATGAAAGTGCTTGGATTGGAGGTGTGGCTCAAGCAGAACACCTGCTTTACAAGTGTGAAGCCCCAAGTTCAAAACCCCAGTTTAAAAAAAATTTAAAAACTGAAAAATAAAACCTCTTATCCTCAGAGGGATGATGGATAAGGGAAAGGGGCTGATGAGGGCTCGTGTTTTTGATGGCTTTATTTGCATCCTACACAATAATATACTCACATGACTTGAGTAGTTTTCTGATTTTTTTTTTTTTAATGAGAAAAACCATGAGAGCATATAAACAAATATGAGAAGTTCAGAGTGCCCAGAGATCTGGGTGAATTCTCAGCTCACACTCTTTCTGACATACTAATGATCCCTCTCCTCCCCACCACCTTGCTTTGTGAAAAACAGCAGGTATGACTTACTGAAAGGAAATCATAAGACTTTTCTCCAAAGAGCCTGTTGGCTGTTCTAAGCAAGTACTGCGTGCCGGTCTTGTTCACTTCAGCAAGAAGTGACTGGAAGTCCTGGTGGAAATCTCCGCCTCCACTGCTGCTGAATTTATTGAAACAAAGTGCCTGAAATTATAAACAATAAAAACACACAACTTCAGTAGGATGACAGGAGATGAGTAAACATAAAAACTCAGCCTAAGAACTGTACAGATTCTTATGGCTGCTCAAAAGAACCAACTGATTAAAGATGAAGAGTACATCCTGTACCCCGTCAGCACTGGTTGGAGCAGAAAAAGCCCTCCACAAACCCTGGCTCTTTATGCTCTCTGTAGTTTGGCTGCAAACATGGCTACCAGCACAACCACACTTCCCATCTCAAAGGCAGGCTGCTCCTGACATTAGCCAGTGTTGTCTCTCCCCTATCCTTGGGTCTGGGTTGGCTCTCTAGCTCTGATCAACAGAATTCAGAAGTGATGCTATTCCAAGTATAGGTCTTAAGATACCAGGCAGTTGACACATTCATGTTCATGTACTGGTAACCATGACTGAAGTATGTCAAACTATCCCATTGGAGGCCACATGGGAGAGCTCTGGACAAGAGGCCATGATACGGGGGGAGAGTTGCTTGGAAGACAGCCATGGCTCCAGCCAACAGCCAATAGAGGTCCAGGTCTGAAAGACACCTCCTTGGACCTTCCAACTCACTGAAGCATCTGCATGAGTAACCCCACCTGGCACCACAGGGAGAACAACTGCCTATCAGGCCACAGAATCTGACCAACAATCCAATGTTACTTCCAGCCACTAAGTTTTGGGATGGTTTGTTTTGCAACAATAGGTAACACATGCAGTAGTGCAGAAATATTCTGCCAAAAACCTCAAACATGGTGCTGGCTGTGGACTTGGGCAGCTGGCAGAGGTAGAGGGACAGCAGAAAAATTACTCCTGGAGGCTGGAAAAAGATAGGCCTGTGGTATAATAGTGTGTTCTAGCAGAAGTGGAGACAGTTGCCTTCAGTGACAGGCAAGAGGGAAAGACATTTTCCCCATTACATCCCATATTTGGCTAAGGTATCTGGAAAGAATGTGGCTTCTCTTAGTTACCTAGGATAAAGGATGGGAAGAGAGAGAAGTGAAAAGGAATGTTCAAGGAGAACTTCAAGGTCTTGTTGAACAGAAAATAAGATATTTCTTATCCCTAGCTTCTCCAGTTGGCAAGTGATTCTAAAAGAAAGAAAAGACCTCAAGATAAAGATCAAATCCTCGTCCTCAGAAGTGAGATCAAGAGCCACTCTTAAAACCTTAGGAAGATCAATGCAACATCTAATTGTCCTGGACAAAGGGGCTTTTGTTTTTTTTTTGGAGACAGGGTCTCATTATGTAGCTCAGGCTTGTCTTGACCTATGTAGCCTAGGCGGGCTGGCCTCACTCAATCCTTCTATATCAGCCTCTGGAGTACTGGGATTACAAATGTACACCACCACATCCAGCCAGAGGAGTCTCTAAGTATCTCAAGGACATTGTCCTACAGCCCTGACTACCAACCCAACGTAAGTTTATCATAAGAAGGTTTGTACACATGGCCTTTGTCCAGTGTAGTACACTGTAAATTGATATATAGAAATCCTACAATAATTTTAAAGAAGCTGTAACAGCTTGGAGCTAAAAGGGAGAAACCTTTCAAAGTGAGGTGAGCACAGATCCCCCGACTCTCTTTGGGCAGGACACAGGCTGAAAGAGCAACAAACACGGCTATTTCTTATAGAAAAGGTACTTGCCAAGACTAAGCCCAGAATGCAGAGGACAGAGCCCTAGTTAAAGGCGATGGATTAGGGAAACACAAATTGAAGCTAATGAAGGGACATTTCTGCCCTCAGAGCAGAGGACACTGGCCACACACACCTGGCTGGTTTGGGTATTGCTATAGATCAGTGACTGCTATGTTCCTCCCTTCCCTCTTGTCATGGGCTGAACATGTTTCCCAACCCCACAAAAAATAATCCACATGTTGAAGTTCTAACCCCAATACCTCAAAACATGACCATATTTGGAGACAGGCCCTTATAGAGATAATAAAATGAGGTGATAAGTGTGAGCTGGTATCCTTGTAAGAAGGGACAATTAAGGGGCAGCAAAGTAATTAAAGTGTTAAGAGTCCCTGCCTAGTAAGCATGAGGCCTCAAGTTCAAATCCCAGTGCCACAAGAAAAAAAGTAAATTAAGACAGACACGCACACAGGGGAGATCATGTGAGGATGCAGAGAGAAGATACCATCTTCAAGCTAAGGATGTCCATGGAAAACCAGACTGCCCAACCAGACTTGATTTTAAACTTAGCCTCTACAACTGTAAGAAAATAAATATGTTGTGATGTTTGTTACACAGCCTTAGCAGACTAACACATTTCTCCTTCCCCCATTTCTAAAAGGAATGGCACTGTGGCTAACCCTCACCATCTGACCGTTTTGTATAGAGGAAGATAATCTGTCTCTGTAGTTCACGGGATTCTGTATCCAATGAACTACATCCAAGGAGGTGCATCTGCAGAGCTTCAGTTGGTCCTGTTCCTAGACTCCTATATAAGCTGGCCCCATGACAGGAAGATACTTGAAAGTCTTTGGAAAGGAAGGCTCAGTGTACATTGTGGGAAGGCTGAGAGCCAGTAGGAGACAGAGGTCAGAGAGTGGAAGTCATTAGTGGCCTTGATGCACCATGCCTTCAGTGTTCATTCCCCAAGACAAAAATGGCCACCATCACCCCCAATAGATCAGGGCACTTGCACCAGGGCCTCAGCAGAGGTAGCATGTCCTTCTCATCAATTCTCCATTCACACCCCTATGACACCTGTGGTTATCCATCAAGAGCAATGCCTTTCGGATTTGAAGTGTGGAGGACCAGCCCATTGACAATCATGGCACCGACTATTGTTATGAAAGGCACTAGTTACCTGAGCCATCTGGTCTGCAGTGGTTCTCTTTGCCCCCATGAAGACCATCGCCAGGGCTGAAGAGATGCTCATGGGTGAGAAAAACACATTTTTCGAGCTGTCTTCACCCAGCGTTTTCAGAAGGTTTAAGGCAAAAGTGCTATTTGCTTCTAACAGAGTACTCATGATGGCAAGCCTGGAAGAATGGATTTAAAGCCAGTATCACATAAACACAGGATTACATGTCAACTGCACTTTTGTTCTCATTAATACCATGATGCTTTGGTTCAGTAAGCAAATAGAGATACACACAAAACTTGAGTGTTTTTAGAGCCTCAAGATTATTTTATGCATTCCTAATATTAAATGAAAAGGGGGAACAAGTTTTTAACAACACGACCCTGTTTTGTGCACACTTGTTATTGCACGCTTGCCCACATGCATGGAGGAAGTACGGGAGGGGGCACATGGGATGTATTTCTGCAGTCACTTCCTAGGGGTGAAGTGCTTCCATTCCACATTCTTTTGTGTAATTCAAGGGCTCACTGTGTTATTTTATAATTTGAAAAACATTCAAAATAAATTTACTCAAGTTATATAAGATGAGATAAACAAGTGTTTTATAATGGGGGAGAAAAGACCCAACCTTAGAGAAACCTGAAGGCTTAAAAGAAAAAAGTCAAATCACATACAAAGCACCCTCAATACCCCTTCTAAGAAACCTACTGACATGACCAAGCCAAGTCTAACAGCATGCTAAGGTCATCCTGCTGCCAAGGGCCAGGTCTTCTTTCCGCTTATTCTGTCCTGTGAGGACACAGGGTCCGTGTGCTTATCAGACAGCCTCATATGCAGTCAGCAGGCACACGCCTACTTCCATCTTCAGGCTGTTCAAGATCATTTTAGAGTCTTATCTTACCCAGCCTTAATTGGGATATAGCTTTATGTAAGTCTTGTTTAATGACTCTTCTGGGTTACAAAACTTAAAGATCTGTTGTAAACTACTTCATAAAAAGCACTAAGTCTATTTTGCTGCAGCTAAAATGATCTAATAAGAATGGCAAAAGGACAGTTTAAGAGTGTTGTTCTGTGTGTCACTATGTGTGTTATGTGTATGTCTAATTATTAGTCTGTCTCCTACCAGTATATTTGTGGCCAAATTAATTTTTACATTTTTGGTTCAATATATGTGTGCTTAAATTGATACGTTTGGCATGCCTAAGTTGAAGTATCTTTGTGTGTATGTATCATCTTTAGGATGGTTCTTAAACTGCTATTATAAGGTTAATATGTAAAAGCTGTTGTCTCTTCAAATGACAGTTATTTAATGTCTTTATCTCAATCAGATCTAAGACATGGACATTCAGGAGTTAATACTAGGGCTCAGACTAGAGGAAAAAATGGGGTCCTTTAAGCTCAGGTGACAGCCTGCAGCAGAGATCTTGGAAATCGGGTATTTGGAAAAAAATGATATTAGCCTGTTTCTGTCATAAATGAAGTTTTGGATTTAATTCTTTTATAATATATGGATCTTAACAAATGTGCTACCTATAAATTATTTTTATACAGAAAAATTTTAAGATTGCTCTCTTTCTGGTTTTTACATGCAAATATAAGGCTGTAAGTTAATAAGTTTTATAAAAGTTATTTTAAAATACAAGTTTAAAAAAGGGAAACAAAAAGTCAATAGTAGGGAAAAAAATCAAAGGTATTAAAGTATGTTTCTGGGAAAAAAGGTTAAAGGGAAAAAATACTTTTGGATGAGGGAGGATATATCTATCGATATAGATCGAGGGGAAGGTTTGTCCTCAAGGATTGTTCCAAAATAGGAAAAAGAAAGGATAAAAACCTCCCACCCCCACCCCAAAGTACAGGTTAAGTTGTCATAAAGGTGCAAAGTAGGTAGTTATGAAAAGATGGAGCTTAAAAAGGCTTATATAAGTGATTAAGCTGACTGTAATCTAAGAGTTACTTTAAAGATTTGTAAGGTCAAAACTTAATATATTGATGTTAAACCAGAACCTGATTCTCTAAGCCTGTAACAAGGCTGTCTTTAAAAATACTGTTCTGTTCTTGATAACATTTGCAAAAAAAAAAGTGACTTAAAGGAAAGTTTTTTGTTTTGTAAAGATAACTCAAAAATTTTTGATGCTACAGGTTATGACAGAAACAGAGCAGTTGAGCACAGGGAGTACATTGATATGTGGGTTGGGACAAATTTATTTCTATAAAACAAAGTAAAAACAAAAGTATACCTTCCAGATGGGATGACGGGACCTCAAGTTTTTATTGGGGATTATAGAGATGGGGATGGCTAATCCTAAAAAACCTGATTGTGTGTCATTCACTCTCAGACACTGGGCTATGCATCATCGACTCCTCCCACATAACAGGTGGAAAAAAATATTTTGGTCTTGGATGGCCAGCCTGTCCTGTTATTTTTTGGGGGGGGGGAGAAGGGGAAGCCTCCACTGACTACCAGTCAACAGGACCCTGATATTTGTCATGAGCCATCTGTTACATCAGCAATCTCGGATGTGATCCCTTAACATCTAAGTCATGGTTCCCAGCCATCAAGCTTCCTAGTCCTCATGACCACTGACTTGTGTTCTGCTGATTTATGCCAGGTTTCTGACTACTGAGGAGACCGAGTCATAACTAAATAAAAGTTTACTTTAGAATTGTTTATGGCAAGTCTTCTTAATGACCACCTCATAATTTTGGTTTAGCAATTATCTTAAATGATGCTAATACAGTTAGTGCCTTATATGTGTCTGTGACTAAAAATATGTGGAGCCATATACTGTACCTAAATGTTGTACACGTTTGAGTTAAAAATATTTGAGTTTGGTAAATATAAAATAACCAACTAATGCCGTCTTATCTAAGAAGCATTGCATCTAACCTTCTTGCATATGACAATGGTCAATAGGACTTTTGGCATTTCTGTTATTTATGATCAATGCCATTTGGATAGGAGAAAACTGCCATTTGGGCAGCCCTGCTGTTTGAATCTGGACTACATCTATTTGTCTTGGTTGGGTTAACATTGTTATATATAAGACAAAATTAAACATTAAACATTAGGGCTGACCTAGGATTTCCCATCAGTGCTATATACCTGTTACTTATCCAAAAATTTAAGGTAACTAAATTAATATAACTATACGGCCTTTATTAAACTGATGCTGTTGCTGACTCCACTGTATATTACATATATTTGTGTTTTCCTTATAAAGTCTCCTAAGATACAAAAGTTTTTTTAACAAAAACATGATACCAAGCTGGTGTCCTCCAAATTAAAACTTAATGCTAGCCTTTTGCAGATTTTTGGACATGTGTTCCTAACTGTAACAACAAAAAATTAATGGTGCTGATATAACACTGCTAATCATAATTATTATCCTATACACAATGGAAATACCTAGACTGTTCTGTTAGTTGCTAAACTATTTATCAAAATTTTAATTGTGGCTATCTTAAGTTTTGTCATTGCTAGCTCTGACATTGTCCACAAATATTTGCTAAATATTTCCCCAGTGGGAGAATGCTAACATTCTAAGACATTCCCAGTGATTCCCCTGAGTGGAAGAAGGGAACCCACACAATAAACAGAAGCAAGAGTGCATATTCAGAGATCCCAAGGAATGGGAAGAGAAACCAAACTGAAGGACTCTGAAGAGAACATGGTATACACCTTTCAGTTATAACTGGTCAGCTGAACTTGGGCCCCAAAGACATCCAGATCCTAATCACTGAACCTGTAGCAGTTTCCTTATACAGCAAAAAAGGCTTTGCAGCTATAAGGATCTTGTGGCCCCTTATAAGTGGGGCTGTCAAACTAAAAAAAAAAAAAAATTTCAAGAGAGCTAAGCTCTCTAGAGCAAAAGATTTTGAGAATAGCAAAGGGTGGCAACCCAGGGTGCACATACCATGAAAATCAAAGGCACAGCATAGGAAATGAGGACAAAGGGGAACCTTTAATATCAAGATGAGTCCATGCAGATTTTACCTTATACTCTGGTTTACTTTAATGGTTTCCTGGGTTGAATAAATCTTAAGCGGGTGTCCCCTCCCTGTAAAGACAGGGAGTAGGGCTGCCTGCCTGGTTTATGGTCATTGGTCACCCTAGCACGTAGCACCATACACTCACTCTTTTTGTAGCCAAGCATACTTGTGTAGTTAGTGGAGCTTGTGGCTTCAGTACCACTTTCACTGGGGTTTACAAAGCCTGGGCCAAACACCAAATTTCAATTTCTTATAGCCTGGTCTTTCCTTAAAAAGTATTAGTTGGGTTTTCCTCTGAGTTGCATAACCCAGAGGTCTATCAGGGAACTTGGCTCTGAGTTTTTCAGGTCTTTAGGTTCCTCTGTAACTTGAAATAGACTGTTTATGAAGAAATTCCAGATGGAATACGCACATCACTGAATTCTTCTGTGCTTTTTTTACAGCTCATCTTGCTTGCCTCACCTGAGTTCATTAATGGATGTAAGGCTTTTTACAACCAACCTGTTTCAACTAACTGCTGATGTTTGTCCTCTTGGTGCTCAAACTGTCCTAACTTGGCTAGCGAGAATCTCTTGAAATTGGTTATTTTACCCTAAGCTGTTGGTCTCAAAACCACCTTTTTTTTTTTGAACAATAGGGACTTCCAGGTTCAGGTTGAATTTTTCTAGTCCAGAGACATGATATCACTGTCTCTAGTTTCTTTAAAGGCAGGCCTTTCTCTTAACTGTTCAACAAATGTGCCAGGAACATACTCACAGATCACACACAAACCCAACACCCAGGGATGGCTTTCTAAGTCCCCACTGCTACTGCTCCAGCAGTAAGCTGGGAAGGATACTTCATGAATACACACATGTAAAATCAGGCTCTACTTCAAAATTACTCGCTACTTGAAAAATAGTATTCTTTTAAAAAAAAAAAACAACCACAGACATAAGAACTGCACGTTAAGATCTTATGAAAGAACAATTTGGGGCTGGCAGAATGGCTCAAAAGGTAGAGCACCTGCCTAGCAAGTGCGAGGCCCTAAGTTCAAACACCAATACTTAAAAAATATATGTATATATATAAACATATATATATATATATACACACACACACACTTTTTAAAACAAGTCTAACAAATCTATCCCAGGATCATTTTTTCCCCCACATCACCAGTAACCTTGAGCACTTAATGTTCATAACTGATCTTATTCAGCTGATCAAGTCATAATTTTAAGGAGTCACTATTTAACTGTGCTGCTTCTTTGAAGGATGCCTTCCTTCCTTCAAAATGTAGCTATTTAAACATTAGATGTATGGAAACTTGGACTCCTGCTTTGTTTTCTTGTGCAGGGTGCATGGGCCTGTGTGTCTTCTTATGTAAACAAGGAAATTATGCATTGTTTTCTTGTGCTGTCTTCTTGAAAATACAAGGTGTGTGGTCCTCAAGGGGATGGTACAGCATGTACTTGCATGTCCTTATTATCAGATACAAGAGGGAAAATGTTGATTGTTCTAATTTTATCCTACTAATACTGGTCTAAGTTGGCTGTAATTCATAATTTTATCCTACTAATACTGGTCTAAGTTGGCTGTAATTCACTGAACTGTAATAAAATGCCTTGGACCGGAATTGGCCTTACATAGTTTTAAACAGTCATTCCTGGATATCTGAAAGACATTAGTTGGTTATCTGTCAGATGCTCAGTTCCCTCATATAAAGTAATGTATTTTATATGACCTATGTACATTCTTCTATATACTTTAACTTCTACATGGCTTATAATACTCAATGTAATGTAAATAGTAACAGTTGTTACATATCATATTGTTTGGGGAATAATAACAAGGAAGAAAGTCTGTACTTGTTTAGTACAGAGGCAACTTCTCTTCTAGTACTTTCTAAGTAGCCCAGGCTGACCTCAAATTCTAGATCCTCATGCCTTAGCAGGCAAGTGCTGGGATTTACAGACCACAGACACCTGGCTTCTCCCACTATTTTCTACCTGTTGTTCATTTCTATCTGCTGCCAGCCTGTTATCAAATGCAATCCATGGGTACAGAACCTGTGGATGTGAAGAGCCAATTGTACTTGCTTTATGGAGCCAACTAGGACCTAAAGTGAACCATTTCTCTGTGATAGTACCAAGTCATAACGGATGCAATTAATCAGAGGTAGTCACCAAAACACTGACACACCCAATATACACAGTGCAGATAACAGCAGACATTTGCATTAATTAAAGTGCACGGTACTGAACCCCAGCACCCCAATTCCTGCCCACAGTATCCTAATCCAAAGGTTACTGAATACATCAGACCCCACACAGGAATTCTAATCACACCAGGAAAGAAGCAGGCAGCTGCCAGCATACTCCTATCACAACAGTCTCCACCTAAGCAAAATCCTGACACTACAGAAGAGTACCCTTCCGTATTTCCCTTTCTTAAAGCTGAGCTTTAAAGGGGATAAGGAGAGAGACCAGAGTGTAGGTCAAATGGTAGAGCACTTCCCTAGCAAGTGCAACTCCCTGGGTTCCATCCCCAGCCCCTTAATACAAGCAATAAAGGGAAAGGGGGGAAAAAATTAACTCAAATGCCAATTTCATCTAGCACACAAACCCACACATAATCAAAATTTTCCCCGTGTCCCCTCCTAGCCTGAGAGACATCAAGACGTGTACATCTTGCCTGCGGTGAGTTTAATTAAAAAACAAAGAAAGTCACAGGTGCGAGATTTGGAATGGTCCTCATGATTATCTTCGAGACCTGGACAAGGTTGCCTGTTTGGCCAAAGTCCAGGGCGTAACCCAGGCCGGCGTGGGTGCAGAGCCCCAGGGCACATTGGGAGAAAAGGGTTTGGGGGAGCCGGGCAGGCGGCCCTTGGCACGGACCCCTCGGCCTCCAGCCCTCCCGGGTTCCCAACGCCCGGCGACCTGCGTCACAAGTCCGCGGCCCCCAGGTCTCGGGGCGGGAGCGGTCACCAGTGGCCGGGACAGGCGGGGCTACCCGTAGCTACGGGTCGGGCGGGGTCACCTGTGGCCCTGGGTCTCCGCGCAGCAGTCCGGCCGGCTTCGCGTCACCCCCATCCTGCGCCGGCCGCTTAACCCTCGGGCGCTGGGCCTGCGCGCCCCGGATGCGGGTGGCTCCCGGCGTCACCAGCCGGCGGGAGACCAAACACAGCACTCCGCGGCGTCAACTCCGCCGCCGCCACCACCCGGCTCCAAAGGGAACCGGAGCCGAGACACCGTCCCCCGCCCCAGCCTGCCAGAGACGCAGAGGACACAGCCCTGCGTGCCACGCCCCACTCCCCCCAGGCGCCCGGGTCCCCGCGCCCTAGGCCCACGCACGAGCCCGACCCCCTCGTCCCGGCCGCCCCGGGGGACCCTCCCCGGCGCTTTCCGGCAGCTGGAGCTGGCCCGTACCGACTCTCGACGCGCGGCGGGAAGGAGCGGAACCACGGAGAGCGGTGGCCGGACCGGCCGCTCCCGGCCTCAAATACAGGCAGGGGTGGGGGAGGCGAGGCGGGGCGGGGCGGGGCGGGGCGGGGCGGGGCCAGGAGGGCGGGGGCCGCAGGGCAGCGCCGCGCTCGGGCTGGAGAGAGGAGGAAGGGCGGCGCCCGAATCCTCAGGTGTCCGCCAGGCACGCCCCTGTACTTTGTCCTCGCCTCAGCAGGCTGGCCCGTTCACGACTATCCTTTCTGGTCCTGGTGGTGGTGACTTCGTGCCCTGGCAAACCAAAGTGGCGAATCAAAGGTCTGGCCCTCTGGGAGTCGTCGTCGTCCTGTCTCCCCCATCTCCCTTCAAGTGGGCGGCCCCTCCAGCCAGTGTACTGTGTCTTTGTAGAGACTGAATTATGGCCTCAGTGACCAGCGGAGCATTGTCACAGCAAATGATTAGCATGCCAAATGGTCCAAACAAGGAGCAAGCACACAGAGATTAGGGCCTACAGACCGCTAGACTGACTTGACCCTTATAAATATGCCTTACACAGAGGATTTGGCACGCTTCCCAAGAGCGCACATTTCCAGCTTATTGAGATGGGCTTTATTTCCTGCTTTGCTAAATGTCTATAAATGTATCACCTGAGGCAGGCTAAAATTAGGGAAAGTTTGGGACTCATAGAAACTTAATATTACATCTCAGATTAACCATGCTCTGGCCCAAAGACTGCCCTCCTATGACCCAGGAACCACCCATTCCCTTCCCCACTCATTGATTTTTGAATGGAAATCACCTGGTTCCTCCCTTCCCATAGATTAGCATAAGTTTTAAACGCACCTGGAGAAAAGAAGCATGCTCTTTAGGCCTCCAGATTTCACCTGGGCCCACCATGCTCCCCTTTGTATTTTGCATCCCTAAATTTTAAGAAACTCCATTCATACCCACGTGTCCTGCCATGGATTCTTGCCCTTGGGACATAATTTGGAAGTCTTCTGATCACTGACATCGCCCCCCACCCACAGCATAATTAGACTCATCCTTATATTCTTTTCAGTGACTATGTAATGAACTTGGTCAACATTGGGGCCACAAATATGGCAGACCATGACACAATCTCAGCACCCAGAGTTGAAGTCTATGCCCTCTGGGCCCTAGGTTTGATCTGGTCCAGTTCCAGTAACATTTGAATGTCATCTCTGCCAGAATATGAGAATGGAGGGCCTAATTGAAGGGCTGAAGGACAGACAGCAGGAAGTCCCAAAAGGGCGATAAGTGGTCAAGGAGACACTTCTCCTCCCTAAGAAATGCCTGTTTGCATCTGAAAGGCATCTCCACCCTCAGGCAATGCAAACAGTCTATAAAATCCCACTCCCCACCCTGGCCCACGGGATCACCCGTTTCTGGGTCCCCCTGCATTCTCCAATATGCAGTCTTTCTCTTCTCTTTTCTCCAACTAAATTCTCTACAAATAAAATTTTTCCGACCTCTGCTGTTGGAGTCTGCCTGTGCTTTCATTCTCAGAGCAGGCTCAAGAACCCTGAGCATCTGAAATTCCTTCGCGTGTCATCCGTGTATCATAATGACATTTGATGGTGACTCATAAGGCAACCCAAGGATAATGTTCACATTTGAGCCTGTTCCTGGTATCTAGCATCCCTAGCCTCTCTACCTAGTAGAGAAGTCAGTAGCAAACCAGCCCCCCACCCCAGTTGTGACTTTTATGTTTGAGGTATTAAGACATAAAGGAATGCTTAGAGTATCTCATTTCCACCCTTATTCTCTTCAGTCCTTTCCACCCTAATTTTATTAATTTCAGGTTTTATCATTGAAGAATATCCTCTACAAAAATAAGCAATGTGTGTACACAAAGTATAATATATATGTATGTGTAGAAAATTCTGCCTCTCTTGCCAAACAGTCCATTCTGTCTGTCATCTATACATAGTGCTGCAACTTGCTCTCTTCACTTAATCTGTTTTGGATCTAATTTGGTACATAGATGTCATGGATTTGGGGAGCCTGGAGTTGGTTAAAGAGTTTACTCCTGACAGAGAGTAGGAGAAAGCAGTTATTTATCAAGACACCATTAAAAGGGTAGACAACAGGTGGGAAGCTATGCAAAGGAGCTGTATACCTCAGGTTAGGCTACTTTTGATTGACTGTCTCCATTTTTATGGACCTCACTGATTGATTGTCTCTTCCTGGGATCATGGTTGGAATTTTGCTTGCTCAGGAATGTCTTTGTTTCATCTGAGCCTCCCAGGGGGCTGGACCCCACCCCCCCACATTCCTCTGTTCCTTATTCCAAAGTACTCCTTTGTCTGCCATATTTCCTTAATATGAAGACTCCTCCATAGTAGACATCTTCCTTATTCTTTCTCCTGGCTGCACAGTATTCTTTGTGTACCATTTGGATTCCTATCTTGAGCATTACAAATAATGCTGCGTGAGTAACCTTTTAGTGCACATTCACATCATCCAGAAGTGGGGTCAAAATGCAGATTCCAGTTCTGGAGACACTGAGTTGGGCATTTCTGGCAAGCTCCCCTGTGGCAAATCCTGCAGGGCCATAGACCAGACTTTCAATAGCAAGAGCTTAGTATGAATATTGTTTTGTATGCAAACACAAGTATCCACCAGTCCACATCCTAGGTTCCTAAAACAGGATTGCCAGGTCAAAAGAGAAATACATTTCTTATTAGTGTCAAATTCCCCTCCACAGAGATTGTGTCATTTTGTCCTTGACAAAGATTTTGTGCTTGGTCAAACTTTGGTCAGACTTCTGAATTTTGTACTGGGCACATCTATGCACTTTCTTATAAAATCCAGGATGTTTTTGTTTTGTTTTGTTTGTCTGTTTGAAAACAGACTCTGTGTATCCCAGACTGCCCTCAGATTCACAATCCTCCTCCATCCACCTCCCAGTGCTGGGATTCCAGTCATGTACCACCACATCTGGTTATAAAGTCCACCTTTAACAAGAATCCTTCTAAGTCAGTTTGGTTTGAAATCCCCATCCTCAGTATCTTATCAACCTTGCTATCTGATCAAGTTCCTCATTCTCTACCCTCCATCAGGTGACATCTGATCATCCTGGCCTGTCATGAAAGAATCCTTTTAGGTAGAGTTAGCTAGAATTTCCCTTAGCCTTCTTTCCTCTTAGTAATTTTCCATCCAATCCCACACAGCTATTTGGCTATAAAAATTCTCATTTTCCATGCTGTATTCAAAATTAAACCCAATCTCTCCCCATTTCCATGGTTCCTGTTACCTTCATGAAGCTCCTTAATAATGTTTTCCTTACTGTGCTCTAACAAATGTCATAAAATAATTTTTTAACAGCTTCTCACTAGTTATATCCTCAGCCTCACTAACACAGTTAACGTCAGTTACTGGCAAATCTTGGATTTTTTCCAGTCTAATAGGTAAAAAAATGTTATTTCAGTGTTGTCCTAGTTAACATGTTTCTCTTTTTTATTATTATATGTCTGAATTTTGTGTGTATATGCTGGTGAGCGAACCCAGGGCCTTGCTCCCGCTAAGCAAGCACTCAAACGTTACCAGTGCTGGTGCAGTCTGTGATCAGAAGACTTCCAAATTCTTTGTCCAGAGTGGGACTTGTGGGTGCAAATGGAGTTTATTAAAAGTTAAGGAAGGGGAATACAAAAGGGAGTGTGGTGGGGCCCAGATGGAATCCAGAGGCAGAGAGCATGCTTCTCTTCTCCAGCAGCTATAAAAACTCACACTAATCTATGGGAAGGGAGGAAGCAGGTGATTTCCATCCAGTGAATGGGGAGGGGCATGGGTGTTTCCTGCCAGGCAGGGCAGTCACTGAGCCAGAGAGTAGGCAATCTGAACCGTGATATTAAGGTTCTATGAGTCCCAAACTTCCCCTAAGTTTAGCCTGCCTTGATACCATTGAGCTACATCTCCATCCCTAACATTTTCTTTATTGTAAGTGTTTTTGAACATCTTTTCATATGTCTAAAAGCCTAGTTACCTATTTTCTGTTCATCTTCCCTGTTCTTGAGCTTTGTTCCTTTTAAAAACTTGTTTGGTCTTTTTCTTCTTCATTCTTAAGATCTCTTTACATATAAGCATAATTAGTTCTTTGTGGAATAAGTCCTAAATATCAACCACCACTCTCAGCTTGTTGTCTGTTTTCTAACTTTGCTTCTGGTGATTTTGGTGCACAATTATTTCATGTAGTCAGATGAAGTGATTTTTATCCTTTACTGTTTATAGATTTTAGTCTTGGTTATAAAGTCTCTAAACCAGGTGCTGGTGGCCCATGCCTATAATCCTGGCTGCTTGGGAGGCCAGGATCAGGAGGATCACAATTCCAGGCCTGTCCAGGGAAATAGTTCACAGACTCAAATAATCACCAAGATAACCAGAGCAAAAGCAGGACAGAGGTGTGGCTCAAATGGTAGAGGTCTGCTTTGCAAGTGTCAAGCCCTGAGTTCAAACTCCAGTTCCACGAAAGAAAAAGTCTTTCTCTAGATTATAGGTTTCACCAATGTTTTCCTTCGGTATTTGTGTAGTTCCTTTCTTATATTTAGATTTCTGGCTCATTTAGAGTTTATCCCAGTATATGAGACATACACATCTGATTTTAACTCCTCTCCAAATGAGCTTCCAGTTGTTTCTGCTGTTTATTTAAAAAATCATATTTTCACTGATGACATCGACACACCTTTATTGCATACCGAATGGCTATGTATACTTGGGTCTGTTTCTGGGTTTATATCTGGTCACATTGGTCGCATCGCAATCATAGAAGTTTAAGAACTTGGTTTA